AAGGGCGGAGAGTAGAACGGTTGAAACGTTGTACGAAATATGGCGATTAAGATGAGGCGAATAGTCCGAATAATTGTAAATAATGTACCTAATACCGCATCTCAGAAATATAGACATATACTGAAGAAGGCCGAAGCGTAGAACGGCCGAAACGTCGTCACAAATATGTCGACAAATATGACCACAATAGTCCGAATAATGTAAATAATGTACCTAATACCTCATCTCAGAAATATAGACATATATTGAATAAGGCCGGAGCGTACAACGGCCGAAATGTTTTAATAAATATGGCGATAAAGATGAGGACAATAGTCCGAATAATGTAAATAATCTACCTAATACCTCATCTCAGAAATATAGACAGATACTGAAGAAGGCCGAAACATCGTAATAAATATGGCGAGAAAGATGAGGACAAAAGTCTGAATAATTTAAATAATGTACATAATACCTCATCTCAGAAATATATACAGATTCAAAATTAAATTAAAAACTCATCATGTTCTTAAATAGCCTCGTCTGATCGAGACGTTTATCTCTGTACCACGCATTGTGCTGAACCCGTCAGAATTATTTAAACTGTCTACTGAATAGAACCACTTTCTCAGATAGATGGTTGAAAATGGGTCGAATGAATGAAACGTTTAAACCTCAGCGGGAACCATCCTTTCTCGAACCTTGTGGACTGGCGCTACTGAATCACAAAGAACTTTATTAGATAACAGAAACCTTGAGTAGCCACTAAATGCGTAACACGTGTAACTCAATTTGAGAATAAGGATATAGCCAGATTGTTGATTTTGTACACAACCCCAAATATAAAGTAAGAAAGGAAATACCCATCAATACTGGAAAGAGCTATAATATGACTTCCAAATTTAAAAAAAAATAAAAAATAAATAAATAAATAAATAAATAAACGTGCGACTATGTCTTACTGTTGAATTAGCTAGATGCAGCAGTATGTTCCATTCTAATAGATTTCTTTCTCACACTTATCGCCTGTGGAACTCCTTTACGAGTTCTTCCGTCCTTGCCAGCTACAATCTTCGAAAATTTAAATGTAACTCCGACCGCCATATTCTCTCTTCCTGAATTTTGTTCCTATATTGTCCGTTCTCCTCACTAAAGTCTTCTCATTCTCCGAAGCCCCTTGCTTCCTCCTGGTAGGGTGAAATGATTGGAAAAATCAATATAATTACCCTGCTCATGCTTTCGCCTCGCATGAGTCATCATCAGGGTTGTGTAGGTAATGGATTTATGACCTAATTTATGATATTATTCTTGTCTCCTAAACTATAAAAGTGGACATCCTGAAAGATATAAATTTGCTGTCATAAACAATTTATTCTAATCTCCTCATCAAAAGCATTTTTTCTTAAGGAATTAAGTAGTATAAAACACATACTTATTAATAATGGGTTTCCCAATTATATTGTGAACTTTCCAATTTGACTTCACTTAGAAAATAATCATTTTAATATGAACCCAAGTTATCAAGATAAGATTGATAACGATGCCGTTAAAATATTCTACAGGCGGCAACTGAGCCACAATGGCAAAAATGAAGAAATACAAATTAAACAATTAGAATGTAGCGACATGTTAAATCTGTAGAAAATTATTTATACAAAAGGTGTGATTTATTTTAATAATTTTACAACCAGTCCACAATAATGAACCACATTTTACTTATGCACTTATTGTTTATAGCAGTCATAACACTATAACCTACACAGTCCTGATGATAACTCACATGATTCGAAGGCTCTTAGACGACAGATATATTGCTTTTGTAAATTTTGTCCATCAGCAGCAGCCACTTATACCAAAGACCAAACGTAAATTAAAAAGATGAAGAAGCAAAAATGGTTTTCTCTAAGACATGTTTAAATACACAGACACGCTCTCTGGCGCTCTATCTTTCTCTCTCTCTCTCTCTCAAACACACACACACACACACATATATATATATATATATATATATATATATATATATATATATATATATATATATATATATATATAAATATCTATGCAAGTAAAGAGAAATAACAGATAGATTAAGAATCCACCGTTCTTTAGTATTTAATTTATTTTTAAAGTGCTCAATACAACGTAGGCCAAAGTTTTGTAATAAAATTTGTTTTAAAAATTTTTACTTTGCTACGTAAAAATTTCGATACTTCGAAACGAATATTCTTAAGTCATCTAGCGATGTTAAGTAATTTAGCTAATATGGCCTGAAGACGAAAAAATTTTAGTTCCGAAATATATAAATATTATGTAGCGATGTAAAATATTTTGTATTAAAATTATATTAAAATATATATGCGAACATATATATATATATATATATATATATATATATATATATATATATATATATATATATATATATATATATATATATATATATATATATATATATATATATATATATATATATGTAAATATATGAAAATGAAATTAATTATTTATATCGAATTTATTAAAG